TTGTGCTGGCGGCGCTGGCGCTGGCGTTGGTGTTGGGTGTTGGGTGTTCCTCACGTGCATTTGCCATATTATGTGTGCATTAAAGCAACAATATCATTGACAATAATACAAAAGCGTTCAACAATGAAAGCACACACATATGTATGTATGCCCAAATGCAAACACAACAGAAAAGAAAATAAAAGAAAATCAAAATAAACAGTTGCAACATGCAAAGAGTGTAGCAAAGCAAAGCAAAAGCGTAGCGCCGCGTAAAGGCGCTTTGTCGCCACCATTCGCTACCTTGACCCCATTGCAAATGAGCTGAGAGCACCGCCAACTGGAAGTAATGGTAATGGCCGGCGGTAATGTCGGCAAAGTATTTATTTATGTACTTGCTTGTAGTTATTGTACCTGCTTACTTGTAAGTACTATGTACGAGTAGAGATTGCATGCAACGGCGCAATGGGAACGGCGAACAATTTGTGCATTCAATTATGCTTTTATATGTTTCTTGTTTTTTTTTTTGTTGTTTTTTGGTATTTTGGCAGGTCTATTATTTTTATTGCTGCCAGCAAAAGAAATGGAAGGAAATTTGGTAGACTCGATAAATGTAAAGAATTGCATGAAATCACGCGGCATCGAAATTTTGTAAAACTGTGAAGGCACTTCTTGAATATGTACTCCCAAGAGTTTGGATAGCTGGAAAGTGGCATAAAGATGTTAGAATCCATCTTATGTGTGATATGAACACTAGGGTGCCCATCGAAATTATTATTTTTTATTTCAAGACCCTACCTTCTAATTTCCTTTCTTTTTATGAGAAATGTTATGGCCTATTTTTATAGATTTTTCAAACAAATTTTTAGAGGTCGCGATGTTTTATTTTAGACAAGGAAGTACGGTTTTATCGATTTATCAGTTTTTGCATAACTAGCTAAAGTAGTTTTTGAGATACGCACATATCAATAAGTGGGCGTTGCCACTCCCAGTCTCCTAAAATTTCTTGAAACTCCACTTTTTTCTAAACAGCGATTTTTTTAAGTTAGCACTACACTTTTCGAAATTGGGAAAGTTAACTACTTAGGGCAGTAATTGTAGTGTTTTTGTTGTAAATTTGTTGTGGAAAGAAAAAATGTGTAGCTCACTTTTTTTAAGAAAAAATGGCATGCAGTGCTAACTTGACACCATGCACCTAGTCGATAGAATTGAGATATTGAAAATATTATAACGGCACTAAAAAATCAACGGTAATCTTTAGCGACTTGAAACTTGCACATTATTAGACTAAAATTCAATGGGCTATAAAACTGTGTATTCAAAAAAATTCTACCGCTTCTGAGAAAAAAGTTTGAAATTTGGGTGAAAATTTGTTGCACTTTTTTGCGGTCTTTTAAAAAGTTTTAAGCTTGAGTTTATGTGAGTTTTGTGAGAGAATGAACTATATTTTAATTGAAAATTCTTAAAAATAAATAAATAAACATGAGTGGCAAACAATATAACTTTGAAATGGGGGTGCTATTGTATTGGCCAATACTGTATATCCATATGTATGTATGAACGTTCATATCGTCGGCGGGATAAAAGATTATCATATGTTATTTTGGGAACTCTCTGAATTTGGCAAAAATATTTTTAATGTTTAAACAAATCTGCGCTAGAAATATCATTTTTCATGCAATTATTGATATGAAATATTAATTTATCTGTCGGTAGTATGTTAATTTAGTGGTCAAAGCGTTGCCAAGCGTTCATTGTAGCAAACATACTTTTAACGTGCGTCCTGTCAAAGCAACGCCAGTGTCAAAGCCAACGCGAAAGTTCTATATTATGAATAAGGCTTCAGAAAAAAAGGTGTTTAAAAATAAATTAAAAATATGTTGGTGTTTGGCCGGGCTACCCCTCCGATTTGTGGCGTGCGCCTTGATGTTGTCACACAAAGCGAAGGGACCTACAGTTTTACGCCGACTCCGAACGGCGATTGTATTTTGATTAGAAGCTGTTTTTTTTTAGCAGAAATACACTCGGAGGTTTGACGTTGCCTGCCGAGGGGCGACCGCTGTTAAGAAAAAGATAACATAACTCTAGAAAAAACACCATACATGCAAAATTTTAATGCCAGTTGCTAAGAAGGAATCTCCAACTTTTTGTTAAATGCGTTTAGGAAGTGATTAGAGCACGTGTGTCAAGTTAGCACTACACTTTTCGAAATTGGAAAAGTTAACTACGGCATTAATTGTAGTGTTTTTGTTGTAAATTTGTTGTGGAAAGAAAAAATTTGTAGCTCTCG